ATACAAGCACGCACAGGCACGCAAAAGCCCGATGACATGCATTAATCTTAGTGTTGCACTTGAACAAATTTCATAGTCTTTGATTTTGAGATTCCAATCCCGCTGCTCTCAGCGCATAGAAATGGGTTTGGCTGTTAACTCTGAAAATAACAAAATGTAAATCATGTACAAACTGCATACTCTTCATTCGGCTGTATCTTAGATATGTATATACCGCACATATCTCAGATATGTATTTGCCTACACAGTCCAGCTCATAGAAGTACATACCCTTGTGACATGTCTTTGTTTCAGGCTGCTTTGTCAATGGTTCTGGAGATGCACCGACTGTCATCGTCGGCCGTGCAGAAGTTCATGTCAGATGACATCAGGAAGAGGTCGTCTGAGCATACGTATGTACTGTAATTGATACGTCTAGGTGCTTGTTTTATACTATATTCGTATATCTGTGTGTAGTCTAGGTGCTTGTTTTCTACTATATTCGTATACATGTGGGTAGTCTAAGGTACATGTTTTCTCCTATATCCATATATCTGTGTGTAGTCAAAGGTACATACTTTCTACTATATCCATATTCAAGTATGTTGTGGCGATTGGAAGTAGTCTATCTACCATCCTCAGGGCGTACGTATATGTTAATATGTTATTTCTCATAATATCTTGCCTTGATTTACATCAGGCATTGGGTCAGACTTTGTATTACCTATTGCAAAGTGCATGCCTAATATTACATATGACTTCTCCGCCCCGATTTGTAGTTCCGGAAATGACTTGGATTTTGGCATTTCAGGGTTTAATTTCCCACCGTCGCAGTTCCAATTGCATCTGCAACATATGCATCCCCCCTTCTTGCCCTTCCAGTACTACCAGCTGCTGGAACACAACCACTTCACCAAGGACAGGTAAAACCACACACGCACACACACGTATATATATATATATATATATATATTCGCATATATTCGCATATATTGATTGCTTATGTATACGCATGTGTGCAATATGCATGTTTCATGTGTCGTCTTGCCAGCACGTTTGCTTAGGCTCTGCATGTCGAATAGATGAATGCCTGATTGATGCCATATACATCTTCATGCCGAGACAGGGGTCAATATGTGTGTACATTCATGTATATATGTATATATGTATGTATGTATACATATATGAACAGATGGTTGTTTTATAATATATATATATATATATATATGTACGTGTACCTGCATTTGCTTACATATATACGTATGTGTGCCACTTGTATATATCTGCACGTATATATTCATATATGAACAGATAGGAGTTTTTATAAATAATAATTTTGTATGCGTTACTGAGACTGTCGCATGCTGCGTACTTATCTCTCTACATAACATAACATAACCCCTTGATCAAGGATCACCCAAACATCCATGTGTTATAGTCACTCAAAATATCATAGCCCCTTGATTAAGGATCACTCATACATCCATGTGTTATAGTCACTCATCATTACATGACCCCTTGAGTAAGGATCAGCCATACATATATTTGTTATAGTCACTCAACATAACATAACTCCTTAATTAAGGATCACCCATACATTCATGTGTTATTGTCACTCAACATAGCATAACCCCTTGATTCAGGATCACCCAAACATCCATGCGTTATAGTCACTCAACATAACATAACCCCTTGATTAAGGATCACCCATACATCTATGTGTTATTGTCACTCAACATAACATAACCCCTTGTTTAAGGATCACTCATACATCCATGTGTTATAGTCACTCATCATTACATGACCCCTTGAGTAAGGATCACCCATACATATATTTGTTATAGTCACTCAACATTACATAACCCCTTGAGTAAGGATCACCCATACATCTATGTGTTATAGTCACTCAACATAAAATGACCTCTCGATCAAGGATCACCCATACATCCATGTGTGATCGTCACTCAACATAACATGACCCCTCGATCAAGGATCACCCATACATCCATGTGTTGTCGTCGCATACTTCCCGTTAGATTACATGAGCGATTGGTAGGCCTGGGCGTCACCCTATGTTGTATACCTGTACTCACTTATGACATGAATGTCACAGGATATGTCTCTCCCTATCTGCATACTCACACACACCACATATGTCTGTAACTCCTCAGATTCTTCCCATTAGAATACATAGTCGCACTCACACACCCCACGTATGTCTGTAACTCCTCAGATTCTTCCCATTAGAATACGTAGTCGCAGTGCTGGCTCTGGACTCGCCCTATGAGGTGACTGAGACAACGGACATCCGGGACATTATATCCTACTACAAGACTATGGGTGTGGACTACGATAAGGTGCACACGACGGCCCTCGAAAAGTACACCCGACTCCACAGAGAGGTGTGTTTAACATTCAGCCAATCATATACAGAGCAAATAGAGAACATGTGGCAATACTCACACCATTACCACACACTCCCGTTGGTGTCGATAGTGTACGTTGTATATACCAATTGTGGAGAAACTTGATTGATGGGTTATACATATAATTATATATATATATATATATATATATTATGTGTGTGTGTGTGTGGTGGGTGGGTGGTGTGTAGTAGT